TGTTAGAAATTTGTTTCCAAATGACTTGTAAATTCCCATTCTGATTCGTATCAAATCTTCACCGATAATATTTAACTAGATTATAAACTTATGCCGCGCTCTGCACTATTCCAATCACTTTCATAGACGCACAGAAGGCTGGGGTTATACAATACATGGATACGTTTCTCGGATCGCACAGTGACCGAAAGGCACCTATTATATTATTATAATTATCATCTTGTCTGTTGTGGAGAGAAAATTCAGCCTAGAAAAATTATTTAGAATCTTGTACATTTGCGGCATTCAAAAATAATTGAAGTACCTCATAATTAGGAAAAAATGAAATGCAAAAAATTGGAATAAGTACATACATAGTGCAACGGTTTGCTTATAAAAGATTAAATACAATATTTTGAGAGCTGAAAAAAAAATATTTACCCTTCAGAGAGCTATATTAAACATTATATTTTTTTACTTAAATTGTAAGTGGAATTGACAAAAAATTGAACTAGAATTAAACTGAAAATAAGAAATGAAATAAAATAAAAGAAACAGACAAATTAAAAATAAATAAAATAGCAATTTGACAAATAATTAAAACAAGACTTTTAAATTTTGAATAAACAGAAAATGGCTTAAAAATCATAATATAATATAATAAGAATTGAAGGAATAACATGCAAATAATTTTAATTACAATGTACCAAAATTATTATTTGGAAAAGGGCAATAAAAGGAATAAAAGATATATAAATGCCATCATTAGATTTTAAATTATTAAAATTAAAAATTATGAACGACAAAAATAAAATTTCATTGAGGCCAAAATTTACAACTTAAAAAAGATTGTCTTTTTTTTAATTTATAATGAAATTTTACTTTGCATGTATACATGTTTTTATATTTTATAAGCTATTTTTTTTAATGGGGGCCTAAAACCTGTTTTTTTTTTTTTTTTAGGGGGAAGGGAGAAAAAGGTTACGGCTTGGTCAAACTTAAATGTTTGCTGTGTCCAAAGTTTTTTTTTCGGTATTTAAGTTAAAAAAAACAAGCATTTAATGGCTAATGCTTCGAAAAACTTAAGAAATGCAAATACTTTAAAAGCAAGAGGCAATGTACGTTTTTATTTAAATGAAGCAAAATTTATATGACTACCAAGCCAAAACAGATGCAGAATTATTCTTAAAAACTAAATAAAAAAGTAAATTTTAATTTTAAGGGAGTTATTTATTCTGCAATAGCTGCCTCATTACAGTAATTATATATATATATATATATATATATATATATATATATATATATATATATATATATTATATATATATATATATATATAATATATATGATGTGTGTATGAGTGTGTGTGTATGTGTATGTATGTGTATATGTGTGTGTGTGTATATGTATGTGTGTGTGTATGTGTGTGTGTCATGTGTGGTGTGTGTGTGTGTGTGTGATGTGTATGTGTGTTGTGTTGTGTGTGTTGTGTGTGTTGCGTCGTGTGCGGCGGCGCGCGTCGTGCTGAATAGGTAAAGCTGGTCAATTAGCAAGAACTCGTTTAAAATTAAGTTCTTTCTAAAATTTTCTCTTACATTTAAAGATACATTTTTTTCATTTATGTTAATATAAAAATTAATAATTTTGTACCAAAAGAACCTTAGGAAACTTCAAGCTTATAATAAGCGCAATTTAATTTAGCCTAATCAAACTAAATATATTTTAGGTAAGTTTACAATAATTTAATAAACACAAAAAAAATCTATATTTTTCGTTAGGTTTAGAATAATTGTTTTGCGAAATTATTGCATACACAAATTTTCACTTGCGTTATTCGGCAAGAAGAGCGTTGCTCTTTAAGCAAAAATCTCAACTTTTACCTATTCGGCACAACTTATATATTTATATATATATAATATATATATATATATATATATATATATATATATATATATATATATATATATATATATATATATATGTGTATGTGTGTGTATTGCAGAGGATCGAACTGAAGGGAATAATTGACAAGCCTATTACTCAACCATATACTGTGTACATTTTAATGGGGACCTCAATAATATCTGAAACCCGTCACATACTGTATTGGTAAATATTAGCAGAGGTCGCTAAGAGTAACCCTAGTCTGCGAATATTTACAGAGGCCTTCTGTCCTCACAGCAATTCCTGTAAGAGTTGGTAACCACTGCTAACAGGTCCCGGTCCAGTATTTAAAGGATCTAAGCCTTCTTATTGAAGTTCCTATTAGCATGGTTGGTAGAGCAACGAGCTGGTAAATTGTTAATACCCCTTGCAATTAATGAGCTTACAGTTTATATATATATATATATATATATATATATATATATATATATATAATATATATATATATATATAATATAATATTCTGCAATTTTTAGGCAGAGCATTCATTGTTTGCTTATAAAGTATGATTTTTATCGACAAGCAAGCCACGTGAAAATGCATTCAAAAATCAGTTTGAACCAGACAAAATTAACATATTTCATTTGTTAAATCATTTTAATAAAATTTAGCTATATAACGCAAGTTTTATCCATGTGGAATGTTAAGTTACTTAAGAGTGCTAAATTAAAAAAATGTATTCCATGATATTGCACAAAAAAATATGTTTATCAATGTATACGAAATAAATTTTCGTAAAGATGTGTGTTTAGAGCATTACGACTATTTTGACCGACTCTGCGTAAAAAGCACAACACACACAATTTACTGTGATGGGTCAGCAGCAGCAGGTGTCAGGGTGGAGCAGGCACAGTGCTGGAGGAAGCATATTCTATTAGCTAGGTCCTAGTGGAAACTATTTACTCTGAATATTTTCTACAAATGTTTGCAATAACTCATTACACATTAAAAATCAATTTAGTTTAAACTGGCATTAAACCATAATGTTTATAAATCAGTGTTAAGCAGCACCAAGTATAAAACATGTATAATACTATAACACAAACCTTCTAATTCACAAGCAATATTTTGCTCTTCCAGTTTTCTACAGTCTTTGACAGACACACACAAGTAAATATGTATCCCGCAGTACAAGAGCGACAACAAAATGTTAAGGGGAGGGGATTATCGTTTTGGGTCATATCAGGTGGAGTCAATTCTCAGGTACAAACATTTATTATCTTTTCCAGCACAAGCTCATAAGTGATGCGATTTAGATAAATTTTCCCCTTTTTTTTACCGTTTTAAGATCTTCTGAGCTTTGACTGGCTCCTGGATAGCTCGTCTTGACAGTATGTAGTTCAGGAATGACAGGTGCTTTGCTAATATTCAAAGTTTATTAATGTATGTCAAATGTGTTCCAGTTCAGAATAACTTGTGTAACACATCGAGGTTCACTCTCTCACACAGTTGGAATAAACCCAGAATCACCATTAAAGGAGTAAATGAAATCAGATGACAGAATCAGCAGCAGCAAGCCTTCAGACGTTATAGACCAAAGAGCATTACAAAATAATTGAAATGTTTCACAACCTCTGACCTCACTTGTACTGGGAAAGATTATCAATGTTTTTGCTTCCCTTCACAGTGTGTGTGGGGATGAGAGGCTCTTCAAAAAATTTGAGTTACCCTCTAATTTCGAATACCAAACCTAATTACCTCCTATTTCCCAAGAGATGTATAACCCCAGTGGATTTAGCGCTTACAAGCATGTGTACTAATAACAATAATAATAGTAATAAATAATAATTCCTATACTTGAGAACTGACCCAACCTGAAAATTAAAAATGGCCGAACTCTTTGTTGTCGTCAACACCGTTCACTCTGATATTCTTCTGCGCTCTGGGTATATACATGTTCCTGTACTCTTGAGAAAGATTTTCATGTCAAACAATTGTCAATAACTTAGCTGATCTAACTTATAGAGCTTGTGCATCCCCTGGAACTTTTCCAGCGAGAGGAGATAAGAGTTTCCGGGAAGAGACAAGGGTTTTCAGGGGGAGAATTCACTGATTTCCATGGGGGAAAAACAAGGGTTTACCAGAGAGATGAGACAATGGTTTCCAGAGAGAGGGATATGAGGATTTCCATGGGGAAGGAGGCAAGGGGAAGGAGGCGAGGGATCAGAGGGATAAACAAATTATCAATATGACTGTGTGATAGTTTATGAATGATATATTACCGACAATATGTAAGACACAAGGGCAGAGTGACTAATACATTCCCTGGTGGGCGAAACGTCTCCTCGTGAAATACTTTTGCACATATTTTTTATTTACATGGTTGTTTCTACTAGAACGTAGACCTGAAGCAGGGAGGTCACAACGTCACTCCCATGTCCACAACCACCGAAGAACATCCATGATATTCATCATCTTATTTGCATATACAAATAACGTTAGACTATAGACATCATTGAAAATTGACTATACACCTACACACGTGACTGACAGCTCACTGCGGGAAAACTCTAATCAGAGTAACGTTCCTCATGTGTCTGGAGGCCTCGAAATCAACAGCTTTGGGTGAACGTGGCAACTCCTCAAGATATACTGGGATTCTACAGCCAAAAAATAATGGAAATACTTATTAAGCAAAGTTTATAAATTAGATGCTAGCCATTTATAAATGTGACTTGTCTGCTGGAGGCAGTATAAGAAAATATGTTAGATATTACAACGCAATATAATTTTGTGAAGTTAGATAATACGGCAGTTCTACGTAATACGACAATACTAGATAATATTGGAATATACCAAAATTAGATATTAATATGAGAAACATACTACGACACTCCTAATATAAGAAGGCAATATAAATTATTAATACTAGAAATTATGTCAATTATACAATATGATAATACTAGAAAATATTACAATATAATAATATATATATATATATATATATATATATATATATATATATAAAATATATATATATATATATATATTATATACTTCAAAGCTATATTAAAATTGATTACTAACAAGAAATTAAGTTCTGAAAATTTTAGTCTGGCAGTCTACATTAAACTCACCATCAGTTGCTGATGACATTTTTTCTAATAAAAAACAAAAGAATGCATTATGAGTTTTTCCAGAAATATGCAAAAATTATTTTATATGAAAATTAGAGAAAGTTTTTTTAATGAAAATATATATGCATGATGGAGAGAGGAGTGATGGGTGACCAGACTCACCTTCTATGTGCTGTTTCACTTCATTAATTTGTGTTTCTATGGTGTTTTTCAACTCTGTAACGGAGGAAAACAATTAATTATGTTATGAAAAAGAGTGAAATCATTCGAGTGAAAGTAAATTGGAATAATTTAATTTTTATTTTTTTTGGTACTTGTTCAATACTGCTCAACAGTGTGAAAGTTATATTATTTTCTTATTACTCTTCTTTTACAGTTGACTTTCAATTTAATATAGAAAACTGTTGTTAATATATGTGTTTTCAAAGTAATTTACTTTAATCAAAGTTAAAAACTCATGAATTAAACGTGTAGTTATTTAAATTACTTCGTGCGGTTAAGAGAACATGCATATTATTTTTGACATTATTTTAGTTGATAGTGTGGCAATACTGGTCAGTTACCTGTAAACCTTCTTAAAGATATCGAACATAATTGTTTTTGTTGTAAGTCAGAAAAGTGTGACTGCTTATGTAGAGAGCACTTTTACCTATTAATTCTCTCTTCTCTCTCTCTCCCTCGTTTTTTATCTCACCACTAATTCCATTTTTATAATCAGTGGCTCACACTCATTAACTTCGTGGATGGTACTCGAAACACTGGATGCCATGAATGTGAGGAATGAAAACCTCAGTTGTAGTTTCTTACACAGATGTCTGTGGGCTAAAGCAGTAAGGCAGCACTAAATTGTCTTCTAAGATTAATGAGAGAGACGCAACATCTGGAGACTGCGATTCCAGCATCCCTTGAGCATATCTGAAGGCTGGTAGGCAACTCCCAAGTACCTTAGAACAAAAGTCAGGAAGTGTAGAGGCTGAAGAGAGACAGCGAAGCAAGTTTGTGGAGAAGAACTAACGATGCAAGATTACATACAATAGTTATATGCAGTGGCGAGGCGAATGGCCTTCCTCTGAATGAATCTGTATAAAAAGGTTTAGCAAAGGTGAGATACAAATATGGTAGAGAAGTTGGCTAGATGCGAGAACAATAGTTGAGATTGAGTCGTAGAGGGAAAGCATCACCAGATGTGATAGGCCGAATAATGTTTTGTTAAACTCATTTTACTAAGAGGTACGAACATATCTCGTGATGTAGGTAATTTCTAGATGTTTGGTGACTTACAGGAAATGCAGAACTATGACTTTTTCAGAGCAAAACAAAGTTTCATAAATAAAAATATTATTCCTCAAGGAAGATGCATGGTTGTTATCCAAAAAATTTCAGCTACTCCTCCTCTTTCTTGGATTAAACCTGATTTCTTACTTTTTCCCGATAGCTGTATTGCTCTAGGAAAAATAATAATAGAAAATATTAAAAAAAGCATTAAAAAATTTCAAATTAAATCATGCAATGGGTAAAAACATCCGTTAATTTAATAGTTAAAATGTGTATTTTGGTCATATTTAAATTAGTCAAACATTACAAGTGACCCAGAAAGACTTGTAAAAGGCATATCAAATTTTTTTTCTAAAGCGCAAGAATCAGTCGAAGGCGCAGAAGAGCCATGACTAAAAAATGAATTAGAGTACAAACTAAAGTGGTGAGCACAAGCGTGGACAGCGTGGATATGAAGATTGCTACTGGAAAGGTACTGACCAGAATTGAGCCAATTAATGGAAAAAGCGGATTAACCATCTACAACAACGTAGAGCAATTTCCCAATGAGGGAGCTTGAAATTAGTTTACACAGGCAGAAAGATGAGTGGAAGACGCTTAGATAATTAGTTATTATTACCAACTATCATTATTATAACTATGATTATAATTATCATTATTGGTCTTATAGGCAACTGAAAGTCCTATATAACCTTTCATTCTACTTGTAAAATTTAGTTAGGTTCATCCTGTCCTTTGGTTTATTAGTATAATAATCAGTGGGAAGCCGCTAAAACCGTACGGGTCTTACTTTTTTCTGGGTAATGGGAAGTAATCAGATTTGATCAAAGTTATGGGAAGGTGGCTCCAGTTCCTTGCATTAAGATTCCTCATATGCTTCAAGGTTGAGGGGAAGGCGGTATCATTCCCTGTCAAAAGCCTTGAAAATATTTTACCAGAATGAATACTAACAACAGAAAGAAGAGGAACACGGTAATAGTTGGAGAACTTGGAGTAGTTTCAGGTCGGAGACACGCCTTCACTTATCAAGCCATTTATTAAATGTCTCTATCAGTGCTTGTTGGCATTACTATAGCAGTTTCAACGCTTAGAGTAGCTATCTTTCCTATGGATAGGTACCTCAAGGAAGGTTCCTGTCCATAGTGAGAGGCTCTTAGTCTAAAGTAAAGTACTGGACCTATCCTTCCATTCTTAAATTTGAACTTGAATGCATCCCATTCCTCAAATGTTGTTTGATCCCTGCAGATTTAAAACTCCTCCTTGATTGATTATAAGAATAATTACAATAGCAACAGGATGAACTAAATCATGCTTGTAAGTAGAGATGCAAGATTTATATTAGAAACAATGACGAAACAGGTTTACATCTCTGGTACTTTCCCTTTCAAGAAGACGAGGCACCTGGGTTATACTCACTGAGGTTAAGTGCAACTGAACCTTTATGACTCATGCTAGTCGAGACAAAAGAGTGAAATGTAGATGCATAATGGAGAGAGGCAAGAGTCATGAAGAAAGTGCCAAAGAACTGTCTTCCAAGCAAGAATCAACTACTGAAATGGCAGAATAAATGCAGTGAAGAAGTCCGGCGACACACTAGAGGGAGAATATCAAGAGTTGGAACGCTGGTTAACATACTTTTTGTAAACAAGCCATGGTTATAGGTAAGATCATAGGAATTATGATACCAGATGTATATAGAGAATTATTAGAATTTCGAAGACAGAAACAAGGATGTTAAAGTCCAAGTCTAGTGCTCATCTCTTACGACAGCGCTGTATGACCCTGGTGGGTTTAGCGCTTTTGATCATAATAATGATCATCTCTTATGAAAATCAGGCCTTTATAACAGTGGATCGAAGCATTTACTACCACTTTCATTAACAAGAGAGTAAGATTCAGTAGGTTAAAAGGTGGTTTACTTTTAATACCAAATTTACACACACACACACACACACACACACACACACCACACACACACACACACACACACACACACACACACACACCTGATATCTCGGAAAATTATTTTTATAGTGAGAAATAGGAGGCGGTCTGAAAATCAAGTCAACTGTTATTAAAGATCACCGAGTTCTTGCATTTATGTAATGTTTAACAAAAAAAAGTAAATTAGAAACCAGAGAAGGAAACAGAAAAATAAAGAAAATGTTACAGTGGTATCAAGATATGAGAAGAGCGCTGTAACACACCTGCTCTCCCATGTTGAACATGCCTGAGAGTTGGGACACTCAAAGAAATGTTCAACCTTATCATCTATCTGTGCAATAGTTTCTGTACGTCCCTGCTCCCTGCCTCCCTGTGTCAATCAGCAGGTCCGAAGTTCCATAAGCAACTTCTTGGGTGGATTGGGGAAGCAACAGACTTGCAGAGTTGTATTTTGGGGAATGAGAAGTAATAAGCTATACTAGCTAAGGTCTACCTTACCTATGTTAAGAATAAGGTTTTTATATTACGTAGGTGAGAATATCTAAGGTGAATATAAGAAAAAACTGAAACAAGAATGTAAGGGAAAAGTTCAACAGATAGGAGTAACGAGCAAGTATAGGGTGACGATAGTTTGACTGCCGGCTGCTTGTTAAGGTAGGGTCAGTCTAGCTCCGGCTTTCCTCCCCCCCCCCCTTTCTCTCCACCCCGAAAGGTGACGTGTGGGACTCCGGCCAAACAGTAGTCACTCGACTCACAGCTCCCAGCACAAATCTTGGAATGACAGATCGGGTCACCTGCCAACCAACGAGAAGTGTTGAAGGAGAAGGACTGAACAGCCCATGAGACGTCATTCATAATCTACCTACCTGATTACTTACAGTCAACCGCAGACGACTACCCCTCATCTTTGCAGTGGTAAAGAACCTGTGTTCCCGTCATCTGGACTGACTATTCAAGGCTATAGACTCTGTGAAGAACTAGTCGTTGGGTTGTCATCAACACCTGTCACCCCCTCCCCCCCATATCATCATCAACGGCTACAATTTCTACAAGACGGTGTCAACATCAACCAGACACCCCAGTTTACTTGTACATATTAACGTTGAATTCAAATGGCAATTTTTCATTTCATTTTTCATTTTTCTTTCAAGTAGGATACACCTTCATTTTTTAATGTTTTATCTTTGCATTACTAAATAATAAAGTGTATCTTTGTGAATTATTATTTTTCTATTCATTAATTTTCCTGAGGAGGAGCCAGCCTTGGTAATTCTGTCTGAAGTTGTTACAGGGCTGAGTAAGCCTTCACAAAGAAAAAGGAAAATAGATGGTTGAGGATAGAGAGATCTATATCAGAGAGGTTTGCCAAAAAGCGAGTGATATGAATGCTGAGAAAATGTGGAAGGAAAGATGGAAGTTATTGGACATCTTAAATGAAGGTTTGAGGCGTGAAATGAAGAAGGAAATTGAAGGAAAAATAGGAAGAGGCAGAAAGGAGGTTGGCTTACTAAGAGAATAGGTGCAAAGAATGGTAGAGGAGCTAGCTAAGGTGAGAGCTGAGGAAGGAAGAATCAAACAATGAGGAGCTGTGGACAGGAAGGGAACGTAACCTCTCAGACATAATGAAAAAAAATGAGAATGACAAAACTAATACAAGAGAGAGAGAGAGAGAGAGAGAGAGAGAGAAGAGGACGTTATTACAAATGGGAAAAGACAAAGGATGATGACTCGCACAGAAGAAAGGGAGAATTCTTTGATGATTTTAGGACTGCCAGATCAACAAGGGATGAGTAAAAGGAGATAGAAGATATTAAAAGCTTCAAGGAGAGGTGAATAAAAGGAGATAGTTCAAAGGAAGCAAAAAGTGAGATGTCGTTTCTTTCACTGTAGGATCAGACGAAAGCGAATGACGCCGTCCAGTAACAGTACTTTTTTAATCAGAAGTAATGAAGGATAATGTAGTAGATAGGAAATCAACTCTCAAGAAGAGAGAGAGG